TCCAATGTAATAGTTTATATCTATACTAGGATAAAAAAAAATTTTTAAATATGTTTTAAAAACCTTTAACCATCTATATATTTTTATATATGTAATACATTTTTCAATATCTAACTTGAGTAAAATAAGCACTCAAACATTCAGCAACTTTTACAACTGAGGGGAGAATATTATTACCTATATACAATAAATATAAAAAAAACTTAATGCTTTAATTTTGCTAGCTATTATACAACATATATTATTAAGCAGTCTCATTGCTCTTTGAGTAAAGCAGTCATGCATTAAAGCAACATGTAATCATAATTCAACACGACCTTTCCTCCAGAGGTTACAATGCATTAATTATTCACTTCGCTGACATGCAAAAAGTACATGTATTTCATGAGCAGTTTCAGGGTGGTTTCAAAACTATCAAGATTGGAATATTAGGCAGTGATTATTTTGAACATGTATGGATCAGGCAAACTTTATAGCTTTGGATGTATGAACAGATGCTAAAGCAATAGTTCTTGGGCAACTTTGCAAATGTTATTGCAAGTAGGCTGTAGGCATAGCTAATATTGCAAAGAATTTCTTTTTTGTAACTTGGTTGACACTGTTAAATGATCAAGTTGTCAAGGTCAACGACAATACTGTGAATACATGTTGTAAAGAATATTTTTGATAATCTGATAGACTGTGTGACCTTACAGTTTTTACCAGTTTTAAAATCACTATTAGACAAATTGCTTTGCAGACTTCTGCTCTATGATTATTGATATAATAAACTCAGCATTTTGTTTTGTTTTGATCTTTAAACAAGACAGTGCTTTTAAAAATGATTATTTGTTTATTTTTTTTCAAAAATTAAATGGTAAGATTTCAACTATTTAACAAAACATAAAAATGTTATGTGTAATACAAATACAAATATGTTACGTCTAATTCAGGTAATTTTGAAAGTATAAAACATATTTTTTTTATAATACAAGTAATTGATATGCCAATCAAACAAACTAACTTAGGCCTAACATGCCTAACCTTCTTCAGAAAAGGTCATGATGAGCAAGACAGTACAAATATTTTCCCGTTATCCCTAGCTATATGTTTTTAGGGTGACACATGCAATCTTACCTGGAGTTATTACACAAACAGATCCCGATCTAGAGTAACCAGTATTACACACAACATATACTACCATTACAATTTTGAGTTAGTTATATAAACATGTTCGTGTAGGACTCACACACGATTCTCCTAAAAATGCTGTAACAAAAACATCACTTTTTGTCTCAAACTGATCATCTTTTAAAGGATTAAGCCATGCTCCAATATAAGACATTATGAGCATGCTCCTCTTTAGTAATACACTAAGATCTAAAATATAACATAATTATATTTAACTGATCACTTTTAAAAGAAAAACATGCTTAATTATAACACATTTAGAATTCAAACATGATTTTATTTAATGTAAATGGTTTACCCCACATTTAGAAGATTAAAAATATACGTATATTTGAATTGATCATCTTAAAACGGAAGCATGTCTTCAACAATAGAGCATGACTTCTGATGCGCAAAATGTTAATCTAAGGGGATTGAAAAAAACATTGCAGTTGCACACTGTCATTTGTGAGCATTTTAAAAACATTGCCTAGCAGTGAGCGCGTCAAGCAGTGTCACAATAACACCAAAGTGATCTACATTAATAAAAAATAAACCAGGCTTTTTCAAACCATAATATATGTGCAAAAAAAAAGGGCAAACCAAAATGAGCCTGATGAGGTTTTTTGTCAAAATTTGGTCCCTCTCAGAGTCACTTATTCAAAAAACTTATCTTTTCCAAAGGCAAACCTGCCAGCCCACCAATCGACATTTACCGATTTAATATACAGAATCTAATTAACAGAATATTTCATTGGAAACCCTTATTCATTAAATATTAATCTTGCATGTTGGATTTTTTGTGTCGGTCACATCTGAGTACTTATAGAGAATTTTTAACTAGAAAACATAATCCGTAACAAAGTTTTAGAAAACAAGATATGTTTGTAAAACATGTATGCCCCCTATCTGCAGCCAATTAGTCATGTGATAAGGTTATTATGCATGACTTCTGACCCAGTGATCAAACAATTAATAAGGGTTATCAAGTATCTACTGGTCATGACCTTAACCTTTGACCCCTTGACCCAAAACTCAATAGGTCATCTGCTGGTCATGACCAATCACCATACCAAGTTTGAAGTTCCTAGGCCTAAGGGTTCTTTAGTTATTGATCGGAAACCGTTTTAACATACAAGGTCAATGTGACCTTGACCTTTGACCCCAAAATCAATAGGGGTCATCTGCTGGTCATGGACCAATCACCAGTGCCAGTTTTGAAGTTCCTAGCCGAAGCGTTCTTTAGTTATTGATCAGAAACCGTTTTACTTACAATGTCAATGTGACCTTGACTTTTGAACCCCTTGATCCCAAAATCAATAGGGGTAAATTCTGCTGGTCATGACAAATCACCATAACCAAGTTTGAAGTTCCTAGGCCTAAGCGTTCTTAAGTTTTTGATCTGAAAACCGTTTTTACTTACAAGGTCAATGTGACCTTGACCTTTTGACCCCTTGACCCAAAACTCAATAGGGGTCATCTGCTGGTCATGACCAATCATCATACAAAGTTTGAAGTTCCTAGGCCTAAGCCTTTTAGTTAAAATTGATCGGAAACCATTTTTTACCTACAAGGTCAATGTGACCTCGACCTTTGACCCCTTGACCCCAAAAATCAATAGGTCATCTGCTGGTCATGACCAATCACCATACCAAGTTTGAAGTTCCTAAGCCAAAGGGTTCTTAAGTTATTGATTGTAAAGCATTTTTACCTACAAGGTCAATGTGACCTTGCCCATTGACCCCTTAACCCCAATATCAATAGGGGTCATCTGCTGGTCATGACCCAATCACCATACCCAAGTTTGAAGTCCCTTGGCCTAAGGGTTCTTTAGTTATTGATCGGAAACCGTTTTAACCTAAGAGGTCAATGTGACCTTTGACCCCTTGACCCCAAAATCAATAGGGGTCATCTACTGATCATGACCAATCACCATATCAAGTTTGAAGTTCCTAGGCCTAAGGGTTCTTTCGTTATTGATCGGAAACTGTTTTTACCTACAAGGTCAATGTGACCTTGACCTTTGACCCCTTAACCCCAAAAATCAATAGGGGTCATCTGCTGGTCATAACCAATCACCATACCAAGTTTGAAGTTCCTAGGCCTAAGGTTCTTTTGTTATTGGTCAGAAACCGTTTTTACCCAAGAGGTCAATGTGACCTGACCTTTGACCCCTTGACCCCAAAATCAATAGGGGTCATCTAACTGATCATGACCAATCACCATACCAAGTTTTTGAAGTTCCTAGGCCTTAAAGTTCTTTAGTTATTGATCAGAAACCGTTTTTTTTGCTTACAAGGTCAATGTGACCTTGACCTTTGGACCCCTTGACCCCAAAATCAAATAGGGGTCATCTACTGATCATAAGACCAATCACCATACCAAGTTTGAAGTTCCTAGGCCTTAAGGTTCTTTAGTTATTGATCGGAAACCGTTTTTGCTTACAAGATCAATGTGACCTTGACCTTTGACCCCTTGACCCCAAAAATCAATAGGGGTCAATCTACTGATCATGACCAATCACCATAGCCAAGTTTGAAGTTCCTAGGCCTTAAGGTTCTTTAGTTATTGATCGGAAACCGTTTTTGCTTACAAGGTCAATGTGACCTTGACCTTTGACCCCTTGACCCCAAAATCAATAGGGGTCATCTATTGTGGTCATGACCAATCACCATACCAAGTTTGAAGTTCCTAGGCCTAAGGGTTCTTTAGTTATCACTCGGAAACCATTTGGTCTACGGACCGACGGACCGACGGACCGACAAGTGCAAAGCAATATACCCCCTTTTCTTCGAAATGGGGGCATAATAAATGGTGAGCAAATGGCAAAATAAACTTTCCCATCAAAAATGTAGCAGTGCTTTAATATTTTGATTAACAAAGTGAAAATTATTTGAAATCTACTCTTTGATCCACCAATTTGTATAAAGGGGAATGCCAAACAAAAATTTTTTAAAATTTTTCGATTTTAAATTATTCAAAAATTATGAAAAATACAAATAAGGGTATTATCTTTTAAAAAACCCAATTGAAAAAAACCCTGCGACCTTTTGCCCCTTTTTTTAAAATTCTGCATAAACGGTCTTTCCCCCATCCCCAAACCCACACTTAAAACCCCCCTCCCCTTTAAGGCCCCCTTTTGTTTTAGAAATAATCCATTTTTTAAATTTTAAATAAGGGTTTTTAATAATAAAAATGTTAAAAATTTAGACAGGGGTCAAACTGTGTGACATCAATGAAAGCCTGCAGACAGCCCTGGTTCTACACTGGTGACCAAGGCAATCATACCAATATTTCAGGTCATAGTTTAACCAATTATTAAAGAAACATTTGGTGGATCAAAAAGCAGTTAAATGGGTGATATAGAAATTATATATGTTAGTAAGTTACTCTATATATGCAAAGAACATTAAATCTAAAGAGGAAAACATCTAAAATATGGACTCTTATAAAGATATCTGCATGCATATGACAAAATTGTAAAGGTTGTCTATGATAATGACATTGAGGAATTATTAAAATGTTTTATTATCATTATTTATTATCACCAGTAGCTCTATACTAATTGTACAGATCTGCTAATATTGTTGCTAGTCCTCATATGGTCAAATGATAATTAAGTAGCAGCATGGCTAAGTGGTTTACAGGTCAGGTAAGAAGTCTAGGGATTGCTGGTTGCTTTAAGGTTCATTGGCATGGATCTTTACACTTATTGTTTAGTACTGTGTTGGTTGTATAAAGGATGCATTCATATTATGCATGCAGTTTCTCAACAAGATTGTCTCTAGGTTTTCAATTATCATATCCAAGCAAACAACTGACAACTTTTCTACATTTTGAAGTGGTGGAGATCAAGTGTTTTGTCACAAACTGAAATGTCATGGACTTATACTGTCCAAAATTAATGCCAAACATCAGCAAGTCAATCCGCTTATTTGTTGGGTTCACTGTCAAGGTCATGTACAGATTCTACTTCATTTACTGCAATTAATTGTGAATGATGACCCCAGATGCCCCCTATACATTTTTCCAGACTAAATAGGGCATCTGGGTTGAACCACTATATAAGGATTCCTTAAATCAAAACAGCAGAGGGCAATACATACCAGAATCTGCTACACATGATGAGCCTGACTGCACATATCCGCTCGAACAAACACATGTGTAGGGGCTGGTTGAACTACACCTGGCATTGTTTGTATAACAAGATGCATCAATTCCAGCCGTACATGTTCCACCTAAACCGACCTCTATAATAATGAAAAAAGAAGTATTCAGATAGGTGTATTATTTGAAATATAATTACAATCACAGAGACTAAAATACTTTGTATCTTTTGTATATTCATTTGTAAATATGTCAGGTATAGAAGGCATTTTAGAAAAATCTTATCTGTTTCTGTGAGGTTTTCTCGTAATAATATCTACATATGATAGCCGATTTCTGCCATTTCATATCTTTGCCCCTTTAAAATATCAAAGGCAAAGACAATAACATGCTCAGTTATCGTGTCTTTACCTGGGGCAAAGACACAAAGAACAAAATGGCAGAGATAAGCCACCATATCTACAATTACTGAATCATATACTATATTTTTAAGTACAATGTACAATTAAATTAGAATATAACTATATTACTACAAAAGCGCATGACTTTTAACATCTGCGGATGTTTTAAAATTCCAAATTGTACCAGTTCATGTTTAATGTTGAACTCTGCTTAAGCCGGTGCTAGGGGGCGTGGATGGTAGATTGCACTTTACAGTACCGTCCATGAACAGGCTTAATTAAACCGAGCTTGCAACATTTTCAATTTTGCCGTGTTGGGCTTTCTTTAAGAATTCTTATTTTCTCTATTTGTGCTTTTCCAGAACTCCAAATCAGGGAGGGGGAGGGGAAATCTAGCTTTTCCACAAAAAAATTATGTAGATTTAATACAGACAACAATCACCGGAACTTACGTAAACTGCAGCTTCCACCGGAATTATTGTCCCCGTTGGTATCATAATAGTTGGTATTACATCTACATACATTGCTCACACATCCAGCATTCGCTGTTGAGCATGTGGTAGAGGATGAACATGTTCCTCCTAGACTTGCTGTTAAAAACATAAAAAAATCATACTTTAATCAATCAAATGCATTGAACACGATCTATAACCATAACAGTATTTAAATATTATAATATTCATAATTGCCCTTTATCAAGAAGTAAAAATTATTTGTTTCTGGGGTATGTTAACATACTTTAAAATTGGTATCAACTGCTTCCATATAAGTTTCTGTAAGTGCACTATTCCAAAAAAACATTATTTCACATTCTTGATTTCAATTTGAGACCAATAGGCAAATAATATATATTATGACATCAATGCTAAGTTGAAGCCATTTAAAAAGTTATTCACAGCAAACTTTTAGGCCTTAAAAAAGGCTTTACTATGTTAAGCACAAAGCTACTGTGTTCCATTAAAAGTCCAGTCATGGTAAACGTGAAGCTATAGTCAGGGCCTTTGAATAAGCTTCTTTGTAGAAGAAACTATTAAATAGTTAATCACAGCAGCCCACTGTGAACACAAAGCTACTGTGGTCTGTAAAAAAATTTAACAACAGTAATACAATTTTAAAACCAGTGGGGGCCTTTAAAGGTTTAACACCACTAAACCCAGATGTAATATTGTCTTTTAAAAGTTTTCTAGTTGGTATTACATCTACATACATTGGTCACACATCCAGCATTCGCTGTTGAGCAGAAAAGGCAACAGAAAAGGCACAGCTAGTGTTGAATTTTTAAAAAAACCTGTTACCTGTTGTGGTTGTTGTAGCAGATATGGCCGTATATATCTGCATAGTAGCTGAACTTTGACCTGCGTCCACGGCACTGCACCATAATCTGTGATTAGTGAGGTACGATGATTGTACCGTGAACGTAACACTACTCTTTATAGCACCGTCATCGACGGAAGCCCCACTCACTACCGTCGATGATAATTGCGCATTACTTCTGACGACAGTTCCGTCTGTAGTTCTTATTGACCACTGAATTGTGGGATTGACGCCATTTCCATCACTTGAACAGTTGTATGTGGCCGACTGCCCTGCCACCACATTGTTTGCATTATTTAAAACTAAAGATGTGGCTGGAAACAAAATAAATGTTACATTTTAAATGAGAATGAATTTGAGTAATGGACTTTTTCTGCTCTAAATTTGAGAATACCCATCATTAAATATGCCAAAAACAAGCAGCTAATGTTGTATATAATTAGTTATAAAGAATTTTGACAAGTTATATGGCCTTATATAAATAGTTGTTTGTTGTAAATATAACCCAAGCCACTACATGAGGGTTATATTGCTAACAACCATTTATTTCAGTCATATAACCTGTCAAGAATATTTATGACGAATTCACGATACAGCAAACTTCCGTATTTAGAAAATAAGTGAGATTTCTTCATAAAATGACAGCAGTCGTGTATATAAAATCATATAATCGTCACGATTATCCAATGGCAAGCAACGTTACAAACATGCAAAATAATAAAGTTTTGTTATACTGTAAGGATGTGGAGGCTGGCTTGGTTTAATTGGTGGCTTAATAGACAAGGCATTGTAACAGCAAACACTCAAAGAGTTTAAGATGTGATTGTAATTTTAAGGCCTAAACAAACACTTCTGTTTTGGTAAATAGCACCATTGTAAGGCCTAAACAAAAACTTTGGTAAACAGCACCATTTTAAGGCCTAAACAAACACTTCTGTTTTGGTAAACAGCACCATTTTAAGGCCTAAACAAACACTTCTGTTTTGGTAAATAGCACCATTTTAAGGCCTAAACAAACACTTTGGTAAACAGCAACATTTTAAGGCCTAAAGAAACACTTCTGTTTTGGTAGACAGCACCATTTTAAGGCCTAAACGAACACTTCTGATTTGGTAAACAGCACCATTTTTAAGCCTTAACCTGCTGGAACCCAAGTACTGGGTCAGGCTAGCCTGTAAATTTTTGTAGTTTGACATTTAGGCTCTATATAATGCTGTGAGAATTTTAGTGTTTGTATTTTGATATTGAAATTCCTTAAGCTTTGAATTAACTGTTCTAATATCAACACTGGGCAATTATACCATTTAAGATAAAACAGAACACTGAGTAAACCACTTAAACATAAAAATTATATACCAAAGTCAGTCATTTGAACAGATGATTAAATATGCAAAGTAATTTTTTTTTTTAGTTTTGTTACTTTTTTGGCCAAATTAAATGTGTATACATCACTCATTAACAAAATAAAACTTTTTTTTTCATTCATTACTTTTTGGTCAAAATATATAGAAACCAATTTAACAAAATATAATTGAAATTGTATACTTACTTGTAGAAGAAACGTAAGAAATGAAAGGCACTAAAACTAATAATGTTAAATACACTGGCTTCATCATGGCTTAAATATCCTATAGTTCTTCCAATGAACGAAATCGAAAATACTGTTTCAAATTACTCCATTACATCCAATGTTCCAAATGTCTCAGTTATTCCTTCTGCAATAGAATGATAAGAAAAAAATAATAAAAGACACAGCGAAATAAAACTTTATTTTCACTTTATATCCTGGGTTGTTATTGTTTTTTTTGTTTTCTTTTTCAATTAAAACATCTTAAATTCACTTATGATTAATCTAAGGTCTTGACACTCAAATAAGTTTGAACTTATGTTTAAAGATTTTTTTCCCCACTTTTAATCCAATACACAAATTACGCAATGACAAGTTCAACACTAAATATAATCTGTTTTTCAAAACGATCCAACATGACAAGTTTGTACAGGCGTTTAAGTCTTTATACACACACCATTTCAAACATAACTACCTCCTTTTTAATCCATTCTCCAATATATAATGTATATAACCGCAAATTCTAATATAATATTTACTTTTATTCAATGGTAAAAATTTATACCAATTCAGGACTAATTTAAACTAGCCTCAAAGCTTTCTTAAAATTGAAAACCTGGTATAAATAGTATAACAATCTGGTCAAACAACTCCATTTTAACATGTGGGTTTCAGTCTAAAAAAAAGTATACTATCAAATTTCTTTTTGAACAATGATTTTAATAGAAGAAGAAAAAACTTCTTAAAATGTGGTAAACACAGTATTTCTATTGTAAATTAATTTGAGCCGTTATTTGTAAACAAACATTCAGTTTATTTTTGGTGGATAAAAGAATATAGTGACAAAATTGTACATAATAAATAGTAAATGAAATTTAATATTTTTCAGTGCTATTTAAGGCAAATTATTGGGCTCTTAAATTTTAAAATATGAACAATTTTGCTTGTAAAGAAATTCTATTTAACATAATACAAGGTATTTATAGCAGTTATCATTTTTGTTAAAAAATAGACTGATAAATAGGCCATTAGACCATTGGAAAGGTAATTACATAAAGTTAGGTAATTATAGCCCCATTTGTTCACCCTAAATGTATGTAATATGGCACACTTATGGCTAAAATTTAAATTAACTAAAATACTTTTGAAATCTTAACAAAAAGAATTGATAGGGATCTATATGAAATACTCTATTTAATTTGCATGAGAAATATTTAAAGGCCCATTTAGCTTTGAAAATGCTAAAATTTTATTTTAAAAAGCGTGTTTCTTTTTGTGACCTTTTACAGTTATTAAAAGTTCCTCATTAGCCATATACCTGAGCCAACATGGTTTATTTGTATTTTAGCAGGGAGTACAGTTTCAGTGATTTAATATTTTGCATTGAATTTAAATTACTTATTTGATTACATTTGGTACTTTTGTTACAAATAATTTCTCATTTATCACTGCTTTAGGATTAGCATCTAAATTTAGCGTTTAAATTCTGATACTTTGTAAAAAGATATCTTATATACATTATTACAACACTATAAACACATGTCTAACATTCTACAAAGAGAAAAAAAATCAATTCTTAGGCTTAATGGGCCTTTAAGGTCCTGCATCCATCAATAGCATAATACATATACAATTACTTTTTAATCAAACCCTTACCACCCTAAATATCTTAAATGGACTTGTCAATCTTTCAATCAGGGCAAGACCATTTATCATTTTTGGGTAAATCTCCTAAGTTATTTGAAGAAAGACTAAATGGCAAACATTGTGCAAATCATGATCTGATGGCATACATGTGCAAACTAATCTTGGTCTGCACTGGTCGCATATGTAGAATCTGTTGCCTCCAGCAGGCGTAGGATAAATATCTTTTTAAAATATTTATACCAGCTTTGAAAAGACCTGTTTTGCTCGCTGCAATAAAGTCAGATATTTGCTTTGTCAAAGACATTAATATGACAAAATATGCTATTAATTACCACAAGTTTTTGTTAGGACGTTATACCAATAAATAATGCAGATCAAGTTAATGGTTACACAGATTGAAAAAAAAAACCCTGTGCTCTGAGTTAGGACCAGACATGCATCAATACCAGGGGTATGGAATCATACACTTGCCAACTCTTGACTAAATGACCATTATGTTGAAAATAATGAATTATCATGGTATTTATCCATAATGTTCAGTAACACAATTCCATAACCATCTATTGCATTATAAATATAAATAAGAGTGTCAATAATTTGAAATCTGTGTGAAGAAAGTTTAAAACTTAAGTGATTAATTCATTCATAATCATGTAAAACATCTTGTTATTTCAACTACTGTAACACAACAAACTGCCAAAAGTTTGTCATAGTGTGTCATATTGGGAAAAGATTTCACCTTACAAGCTAAGTGATGATTACATTTTCACAGTTTAGAATGCTTCATTGGAAATAATTTTTTGTTATTTCCGCTTGATGATACAGTGATGTCCAATCAAGACAAATAAAACTATAAACAGAGGAATTTAAGAATACTTATTCTTTAATCAAAAGGTGTTTTGTAACCATGACAGTAAAAATATTGCTTTAAAAAGTGGTACCCCTATGACTATATCACATAGTCAAATGCTAACACAAACTAGGAGTCACATTGTCTTTCATTTAATCATGTTTTTTAAGAACATTTGAATTGCTCTGTGTATATTGTAAATTGTAACATGTATATAATTATATACATGTATTCTGAGAAATAAAATATGTTTAAACTAAACATGAACTATTTAACTAATACATGACTTATATCAGACATTTCAAATCACTTTTTCAACATGCTGTTTGTAGTTCTATAGAAACATGTCAAATATGTGCAATGTTGGTCGGCTTGATCTAACATTACGATAATAATGATTGTTCCAACTTAAAATTCCATTGAACAGGAATTCTTGGCAGATTTGTTCCTTTTCATACTGAACAATTTTTTTTTTTTTTTTTTTTTTTTGGGGGGGGGGGGGGGGGGTTGAACATCAAGAAAGGTAACTTCAATTAACACTTTAAAGTAACATTTTGGAGACTTCAAAATCAAGGGAGATAACTTAACATTTTTTAAGTAAGATTTAGAGGATTTCAACATCAAGGGAGGTAACTTGAATTAACATTTTAAGCAACATTTAGAGGATTTCAACATCAAGGGAGGTAACTTGAACTAACATTTTAAGTTACATCTTGAGGATTTCAACATCAAGGGAGGTAACTTGAACTAACATTTTAAGTAACATTTACAGGATTTCAACATCAAGGGAGGTAACTTGAATTAAAATTAGATTATTTTAACATCAAGGGAGGTAAAGGAATTAACATTTTGATGCTAAGCATTAGCATACCTTTTTCATAAGTCATTAAATTTTCAAAATAAGAATGCTTGATCTTTAACAATATGCAAATGACCTTTGTTAATAAACATTACATTGAAACAGATTATATCTCATGTGATGAAAATAAAGGAATATTCATATAATTATTCAAATCATGATTTTGAGTTTTTATTTTTAGCAGGAATGATTTTAATCAGATTAACAGAAGACCTATCTTAGCCAGTTCATGAATTATTAATTACTAAACATGGGTAGAGTAGAAGCTAGGATATAAGCTGTTTATGTACCCTATTCAGGACGTTTAATCCCCATAATATCCCAGGTTGAATATTTTAACAGATTAAATCCTAAACAAACTTATATGTAAGTTAGGAATCTATTATTTTTCTCTCTTTTTGTGTAATATTCAATATCTTCAATAAACTATCATATTATGTCACCTTTAAGTGCAGTAACTCACTGGTTAGCTCCTAATGAATTTTATAAAGGAGTTAACCCCTTACTGGTCTAAGATGACAATTAAAATTAATTAATAATTTAATTGCTCATTTGAAAGTAGTCCCAAATTATCATTCTGATTTGATTTCACTTGCCCCTCACTGCCCGGAAGGCGGCTTTAAATTGTTTTATTACAGAACGGTATGCAAAATAGCTTATGACGAGTCTTTGGTTCTTAGACTACTATTTTGTCTGCTAGTGCCTGGAATAATGAACAAAGGGGCACCTGAGGTCTGCTCAGCGGACCATCACCATTATTACCGGTATGATCCTTACATTGTCAGTGGGACTTACACCCCAACTAAAATCCTAGTTACTTCCCCTGTTGCTCTATTCTACAATGAAATAGCAAATGAACAAATAGAGTTAAGTATCAAGTGTTGTACTGAGTCTTAAGTAGACAAACTAATCATTTCACTGAAGTCTAAAGATAGGAAATGTTATTCATGACAGGGACTTACATTGTATACTCTGAAAGATACATGTATTTATATCTCAGACAAATGTATCAGTAAAAATACATGTAGTTAAAATACAGAAGTAAAATCAGTATTTCACAATCAGAACACTCAAAACATTTCTAGTATTATAAGCTCTTGATGTTTTTCACCCTGTTTATAATTGTTTATAACATCTTGGTAAAGAACTTGAGAAACAACTTCATTTTTTAAACAGGGGCAGATGGTCAAATGAAAATAACATACATTAAAATGCAGAAAAATCATAGTTATACACAGGGTTGATTTAAGTACCTGAAATTTTGCAAAAGGACATTTGGTGTCTACATCCACCAAAGAAGTTGAACATTTAAGAGGTCACTTTGACATTAACACCTATCAGTGCAACTTTAAAACCAATTAAGAAGATAAAAATAAGGACAATTATTGAATTCTAAAATTACTTTGAAAATTAAACATTTTTAAAACACCAGCAGTCCCGTAATAGACATGTTACCGAAATTCGATATATTACGAGATTATCATACATGTATACAGAAGCTTTCTATTGGTGTGAAGTCCCGTGTTTGGTTTCGGTCAATTTTGATCTTTGCAGGCAGACGTCCAAAACCTGATGTACTGATAAAAGGTAAATCTCGTTCCAACTTTAAAACTTTGTTTACTTTGCCATTTAAGCTGTCAAAATTATGATTGTTTGTGTAAACACAGCATTAACATGGACAAACATGGTGTGACATCAATATAGATTTAGTAATGTTAAAATGGAAAATTTATTTTGGAAATAAATCATATTTTTTTTTTATTTTGGAAATAAATCATAGCAAGTTTTTTTC